ACTTGAATCCCTGATGTAGGAGTTGCTCACAGTGTGACTTTGGGCAGGTTAACTCACCTCTCTGAGTCTGCTTCTGGGGTTCATGACAACGGCCAGGTTTTAGGGCTGTGCCATTAACCTTCTGAAAAAAATCGCCCCTTGAGGAATTTTTTAAGACTCCCCCTCCAAATTGTCTTCCTCATCAGCAAAATTTTAATGCCACAAATATATAGTACACCTGTTTACATACTGCGGCCCCTTGGAGGACCACAAAACATTGTCATCGCTAAGATTTGTCACCCCCCGCCCCCCTGCCACCAAGAACTATGTAATTTTTGCCCTCTTGGAAGTGATACCTCCTTGTTGAGAATGCATATTTTAGGGCAATTGTAAAGGTTAAGGAAGAGGTCATTTTTGTCAAGAACCCGACACAGTAAGTGCTCAGCGAGAGTTAGGTATTGATGTGTAATACAGAAGCCATGTTGGGTATTATCAGTCAATACAGTGTCACGTTACACGTTACCATACCACACCCTGCCCCTCTGTGCTGCTGCGATTACCAGCCTTTCCACCCCACGGCACACACCAACTGCCGTTCTGCGACATGCCGACACCACTGTTGGCTGATCTGAAAAAACACAAAGGTATAATTTTGATGCATTGGCACCGGGTGGCTATTGCTGTGTTGGCTGTTCCCGTGTTCATTCGACAGGCTAAGGGCAAAGAGGTCAGTGCCCCTGACCAAGTAGTCAGGCATTGCATGTTTCACAGATTGTTGCAGCACAGTGGTTGAAAAGCGCTGCTATACTTATACTTTACTGTCCTTTATTATACTACACTATATGACTGTACTATTCTCTGTCGGTCTAACAGCTGCTCACTGGCTCTGAATGGGAGAGCCAAGGTGCAGAAGACCACAGGGGAACGTGATCCAGCCGCGGGGACCCTGCGCAGTGACGTGAAATCGGACCCGGGTCTCAGGTTCGCTTTGCAGCGCCACGAGATCTCAGAGCTGTTGCTTGAGCCTCTGGGCCGCGTGGTCAGCGTCCCTACCCCGGGCACCGCAGTTTTCCTCTCCGTAATGCAGCGAAGAGCACATCTGGGGACACGCGGAGGGACACCGAGACAGGGCCTTTGGTACTGGTGACAAACACACGTCCACTGAGCACCCACCATGCGTGGCCAGGGGACGTGATGCCGCGGGACGCAGTGGTGGTGGTGGTGGGGGTGAGGGTGGGGGTGGGGGCGGCTGCCCGCCGGGCTCTGCCCTGTGGCGCGTGCGTGCAGTGGACGAGCAGGCAGCACACGCCTCCGTGAGGGCCGCGGCTTTGCAAAAGGGCAGTCCGGGTGCCACCTGAGAGCAGGGGACTGATCCTGGACTCCAGTCAGAGAAGAAGGCGGGGTCACAGCCCTTTGCAAAGGTGAGACTGGAACTGAGAGGACTCCAGCTTGGCCGGAGTGCAGAATGTGCTGGAAGAGGTCTGTGTCCTGGAAGGCAGGAGCCAGACCAGGCAGGGTCTCGGGCTGGCTGAGGTCTTTGGACAGACTCCCGGGGCCACGGAGAGCCACGGAGAGCCACGGAGAGCCACGGAGAGCCACTACAAGGAAGCAATCCAGGGGTGAGGGTGGGCGGGAGAGGCTGGGGGCGGGAAACTGGCTGTTAATGGAAGACCATCCTGTCTTTCTTTAAGGCCTTTCCATTCCCTAGGGACAGGAGGAGCTTAGTCCGGGCCTGGGGTGGAGGCCAAGAGGGGACCGGTAACGTAGGGCACAATGAGACCTGAATTCATGTACGACAAAGAGCTGTGTCTGCCACATTCCCTTTGGCTGCAGTGACATGTCTCTCCTCTGTCACTCATCCCACAAGTCTCCCGGTCACACTGCTGGCCCTTGGAGTTCGGGACACTCCCTGCTCCTTCCACAGCCCTCAGGCCTGGGGATCAGGCCCGTGTCTGGAAAGGGCTTACCACTTGCCCAGCGCCATGCCAGGGGCTTATGAGGGTGTGGCTTTGCTATGTCACAAACTGAGGTCTGAATTCCGTGTGCACCATGTCAAGGGGAATGGGGGAAGGGGCAGGTCGGTCTCCTCACCTGTAAAACGGGGTCTGAGTACGCACCTCCTGGGGTCATCCTGAGGCCTGGGACATTTCTTAGCATTGTGCCTTGCTCACTGGGTAAGTGTCAACACTCGGTGCTTCTTGAGGTGTCAGCCATGACTCATTCACACATTCGCTGATCACACACCTGTGACGTGGTGGGGTGTCCTGGAAGCTGAGGCTACAATGGTGAACCAAACAGGGTTTGGTGTCTGCCCTCACAGAGTCACAGTCTAGTGACAACTTAACAAAGGAGGGCAAATGTTTTGGGGAGAGGTCAGAGGGTAGAGGCAGGGTCCGGCAGAAGCAGGGCCTGCTTGAGTGTGGTTGGTACGGTAACAACATGGGTGTGAGGATTTATGGCTCTGGTTTGAACGTTTCACCTAAAATGTCATATGGTGAGCTGGAGGGTGATATTGCTTTGTTACAGAATTACACGCTTATGATTTTGTAATGGAAGATTTTATAATTGAAAAAGGGGTGTTATTTGTACTGGACCCTGTGGTCTGGGTGTTGGGAGGTCAGGAGAAAAAAATCTACTTATAGGCACATGGTCATGTGACCAGGACTTGAAGGGTTCGTGTGGACGTGGGGAACACGGGGGTACCACATAGGGTCTCTGTCATAATGACTTAACTTGGCTGCCAAAGACAGCAAGTAAACAAATGGGTGTGGCTGTTCCAATAAAACTTTATTTAAAAACGAACAGGTGGAGGGTAAGATTTGGCCCCTGCGTTACAGTCAGTTCCCTTGGGGTCTTCTCTGTCCACTGGAGCCTAATCTCACAGCCTTTGCGGGGATTGGACGTCATCTCAAAGTCCCGCCCCCCTGCAGCAGCCCTCCAGCAACAGCTGAGCAAGGCGGGTGTATGCCTACCCCAGCTCTCTCTCTGCTCAGGCTCAACGACCAAGGCAGGCTCAGCCTTGCCCCTGAGTCCCTGGTAGGATCAGGCCCCACTGCCCCCCGTGGTCATTGTTCTTAAAGTTCATGTATCGGCTTCCTTCCCTTCCCCATTTCCCTCTCTGTGTTCTTGGCCTCACCTGTCACATAAACTGCCTTTCTGAACATTCTCTCCTCCAGGCCCGAGTCCATAGGACATTCATCAGATGTGAATGAAGACCTGGGGGTTGGATGACCTTGAGCAGGGGTCAGCAAATTATGGCCTGTGGGCCGAATACAGGCTGTTGCTTGTTTTTGTGAATAAAGTTTTATTGGAACACAGCCACACATGAGTTCACTATTACCAATGGCTGCTTTTTCCTGCAAGGGCAGAGTGGAGTGGTTGGGTCAGGGTCCCAGGGCCCACACAGCCGGACGTATTTATTGTCCAGCCCTTCAGAGAAAACGTGTGCTCACGTTTGGTCTTGAGGGGCGCAGTGGTGCGACCTGATCTACTTTATTAAGGATCGCTCCAGCTGCTGAATGGAGAATGGACTGGGGCCGAAGGGTGAGTGGCCGGTGAGAAGCCACCTCGGAGGTGGAGGAGAGGTATGGGGGGAACAGATTTGAGTTGTCTTTGGCAGTGAGAAGCAACGGGACTTGTTGCTGGGTTCAACTGGTTGAGGGATGTGGTTTTGTATACTTTTGGTTCTTTCAGTGCTCCTTGGCGAAATTAACTTTATCTTCAACATCACTTCCTTCTGGAATCTGTGGCGACTTCCCAGGTTGGTTGGGGCCACGTCTGTGCCCCTATCCCGATAGCACCCCCTCTCCAGTGCTCTGTTCTTCCTTTGGTCTTGCCGTAGACCACAGAGATGGCACAATAACAGGGCTCAGATTTTGACTCCAGACCCTGTTCTCAACACCATGAACCCCCTGCTTCGTCAGTTTAGTGAGCCTCAGGACTAGCACACAGTAGGTGCTCAACAGTCACTGAGTGCATGAAGACCAGGAGGTCTTTGCTTTGGACCCCACTGCTCATCCCCGCAGTCGGCCTTCACTGCCCGCCTCCACTTTCCTCGCGTGTCCTGCTATCTCTAGCCTGGCCGCTCATATTTTACTGCCTAGGTGCGGGGCCGTGGCAATAAAGTGGAGCTCGCAGGTGATGCTGGGGCCATCGTAATGCCATGACTGCGGGTATTGTGCAGCCCTGTGACAGGAGTGCCGCGAGCTCGCTGTTCTCGGAGGACAAGTCATTTCTTGGTGAGGGCGGGGAGGGGGTCTGCATCTGCTTGGGCAGCTGGTGTGTGGAACATGGCCCGGTTCTCCCCGCGCTCTCCAGGGAATGGAGGGCGGTGCGCAGGGGAACTGAGCGCCAGGCAGGGCCATCACTCCGAGGGGGAGGCCGGCCGTCTCAGTCACGGCTGCCCTCTGCCGCACATCCGTGAATTTGTGAGACAGCTGCCCGGGCCTCTGCTCAGATTGCATCATAAATTACTCACACAGAGCTGACCAGCTTGGAGCGTGTGCAGAGGGTGCCCAGAAACCCAGCAAGGGGTGCTGGCCTTTGTTAAAAAAAAATCCAGTGGAGATGAGGTGGAAACTGGGCGTGGTCAGTGGGTCCCAGCCACAGAGGGGCCACCAACAAGTACTTCGCCGGGGCCCCTGGGGATCAGCACCGGTCCTCCCTCCCCGCTTCCCCTCTCCCTTGCCTCTCTCCTCTCTTGCCATCTTTAAAGAAAACACTTGGGCCAAAGTCAATCCATCAAACGTCATTACAGATTTATTAAGCCTGATGTAGAAAGACATTTAACAGTAACATCTTCAGAAAGAATAAAAAGAGCACTTCTATTCAGTCTTGTGCTTTGAAAATCTAAATATATTTTTATCATATAAATAATTCTTTTCATGTTTTAAGTGCATCTGTGTTTTTTCTTCTTCTCCTCTCCTTTAATTTTCTTCTTTTTTTTTTTTCCAAATTGGCCAAAGCGGAAGTCAGCGTTGACGGAAATGAAGCCATTTGCCAAGCTCATGGTGTTAGAGGCCGGGCTGCGGGCTGCCAGGGAGCCGGGTTTCTGAAAGGTGTTTCAGTAGCTGTGGCATCGGAATGGGGGCCAGCCCCCAGCAAACCGTACTTGAACGCACCCACGTCCTCCGTGCCGGCTGCTGGCTTTCCGGATGCAAATTATGATAACGTTCCAGATGGGAACAGTCTATTTGCAATAACTGCTGAGTGGGAAGAAAAAAAAAAAAAGAGACTTTTTTTTGTCACAAAGGAAAGAGTGATCAGGTTGGAAAATGTAAATAACACACTTATGGAAAGCTTTCTGATGGAAATGAGGGGCTCCGCCTCACCTTGGTGAGTGTGTTGTTCTTATTTTTTTCACAATAGCTAAGAGAAGTACTATTATTGAGGGTTTTAATTACAGTTCTCAAAGTAGAATGATTTTCTTTAAAAAAAAAACTCTTTAGATGTAAAAAATAATGGCTTCGGTGATATAATTTAAGGGTTTTCTTCATCTCTGCCATCGGAATTTATTTCCACTGGTAAAATTATATGAAAAAAAAAAAACACAACCCTCTAGAGATAATTCCCTTGCTGCAGCATGAAATACAGGCACACATCTGGAATGCAGCCCAAATCATTTCTGTCCAGCAAGGGACTGATCCAAATGTTTCTGTTAACCTGATTTAAGTGATGCGGGGGTAGCGAGACCAGATTGTTTCTAATTAGGAGAAATGACAGCGCGGTGGCACTGAGGAACACAGCGAAGGAGCACCTTTTCTGAAAATCCCTGCGGTTCTTTCCAGCTGCAAAGCCGTCATTTTCAGCTGGGCTGTTTGTCCTCGGGCCTCTGACGAGGCGGCCAAGCCTTGGGAACTTTTGCAAATAGTCACCGCGTGGAGCACTGATATTCAGGACGATGGGGAGCGCAGGTACGTGTGGCCAGCCCAGGGAAGGCTTTTCCAGATCCCAGGAAAGTGGGCACGGATGCCTATCTGTGATGAATCTGTTTGGCCACAGGGTGGTATAATTTTCCTGGCAGAAAACTTTTTTTTTTTTTTCATTGCAAGGACCATTTATAATCATCAAAAACAAGTGAAACATGGTTTTGATTAAAACAGCCTGTTGGCTCAATAATCTCCGTAATTTTAAAAACATCCTTAATGCAGAAGAACATGCCGATGTCAGGAATGGCCTGGGGCCCCATTATAGCAGCGACCGAATAAATAAAGAGAAGAATTGTGAGGTCATAAAAACAAAATTAAGCTAATGTTTCAAATTTTGACAATTATGAATCCTTCCTCTAAGAAGACATTAAAAAATTTTTCAGGCACTATTAGATAAAATACAAAGAGGGCAATTCTACACGGACGAGTTTGAGGTTTTCCCGAAGGGTGGGGCATGCCAATAAAGAAAAACTCTGAGCCAGGTTGCTGGCCCCTCCCCAGACCCAGCAACTGGACAGGGCTCATGCAGACAGACAATCTTGGGTTTTAGAATTTCTTTGTAAACTCAGATCTAATTCTTTCATAAGCTGTTGAAAGAGAACGATCAGGAAAAATGACAAGCATATTTTTTTTTCTTTCTATACAAAAGAATCCCCATTGTGGGCCAGTTTGGTAGGAAACAGAAAGAAGCAAATATAACAAAATCTGTGTTCATACATGGCAATATAGTTAGTATATACAAATATATACAGTATAAAAATGCACGGGAGGTTTACGTTCCCAGCCATCCAAGCTGCATGGTACACAAGGAAAACAGCCTGGTTTCTCCTCCGAGTATACGGGCAAATGTATTATTATATTACAGCATGCAGGCGATAGAAAATTAGTGGGCTCGTACAGGAACATTCGACAGGTACGGTTGCCGTCATTTTTTTTTTCCCCTTGGAAAATGACTGTCTGCTTTCCTCATATAAAACTGTGTTTCCTTTCTTCGCTGGGAAATAAACACTTTCCTTCAAAGCGAGGATGAATGTGGTTCTCCCGACTCACGCCGTCCCACCTCCCCCTCTGCCTTTTCGAAAAGAAAAAAAAAGCGTGGAACTAGTGTAAAGCAGCAATTATGCAACATAAACATGGTGGATGTCAAATTTTCTAAAAAGCTACAAGCATTCTGCAGAGCAAGAACAGGTTGACCCTTGCAGAGGCTGTGCCTGATCAACTGTTGTTGATTTTAAAGGGTTGCGGACGTTGATGATTTCATTGCTGACAGTGCCTGGCTGTTAGGAATCAAAATCAGAAAAGACCAGAAAGACGCCAGTCCATCAGAGACTGAAAAGTACTTTGTCTCCCAAGCGATCACGACATTTAAGAACCCTGAGCCAAATGAGAATTGTTTTGTAGGGAAGCTTTTTTGGACTTGCATTGCTCATTCCAGCATCTGATGTGTTATAAGCCCAAAATATTGTGAAACTGAAATGTTTTTCTAGTATTTATCTCAGTGCAGAACAGGAAGAGTTTATACTTTTTCTCTGCAGACCAGTTTAATTTTGTGTATCTTAAAAAATGTGCATACACGTTTAGAATTCCTGGATGTTATATGGGTCATTTAAAAAGTGAAATTATTACTGAAAAAAAAGTCTTCATGTCTGAGAGATAATCACGTGATTGTTCAAGTCCTGTAAATATAAGCCCTGCCTGGGGACTGATACCTGAATGTAGGTTTCAGATTCAAGGTAATTCAGTGAACACATTGGCATTTATTTTCTGGAGGAAGTGAGGGAGTGGTAGTTGTTTTTTGTTTTGTTTTGTTTGTTTTTTTTAAAGTAAAGCATTTGTGCAAATTTTTCAACTTCTCTTGGGAGTTCTCACAAGAGAGTTATTATTTGTCCTTCCAAAAGCAGTTTTAAGCAAATAAACATCGTACAAAGGGCTGTGGATATTTAATCTGCCCCCCTCAAACAGATTGTTCTTTGAAAAGGCCTTGATGAGAATCACATGGCTGGTGGTAAAGTCATCTGTGTGATAGAAGGGGCCGGATCAGGGGCCGTTCGTGGGAAGAGCCATTTTGCTCGCCATCTTGCAGAGCTAATGCTCCACCTGGTACCAGCATTTTAAAAACAGTCCCAGCCTAATCCATAAAACATTTCTAGTTCTCCCTGAAGCTTTGGGCTGCCATGTGCATGAGTAACTTGGAGAAGCACCTGCGCCCCTTAGACCACTGTTTGTCGCTGCAAGGAGAGGCGCTCTAGCCTGGAAAGTGTGTATCTTCCTGGCCTCTGACTCCGTCACGGGGAACCGAAGGAGACAGGTAGCCTTTGCTTGGGATGTTGGGATGAAGAGGTAAAATTCTCCTGCAGAAACTCTAAAGAGGATTCACACGTTTCAAATGTTTCATGCTTACCTACAGTGAAAACATGTCTCCCGAGGGGGATAGATTTGTATCTCTCTCCTGCTCCATCTTTGCCTAAAAGTATTTCATGGATATTTTGAGAAAGTCTTGGAATAGAGAAATTGAAATTAGCATTTTGACATCTCACGGAGGAAAAAAAAATACACCCAAGTTCAGTTGTGAATTTTTTTTTTTTTTGCCTAATGCATTTTCAAAATAGATACACTTGTATTGATTTTTAGAACTGGTGTTGTACATGTGTGTGTTTAAAGCCCCCAATTTATTGCCTTATTATTAGTGTTTTAGCTTTCAACACACTTCTATTCTTGTTGTAGAGAATAGAAGATAATGCGAAAATGACATTTTAATGGGTTTTTAAAAAGCAAAAACATTTAATAAGCTTGAAAAATGAAACCCGATGAAAAAGGTTTGGACGCAAATAACCTGGGAAATGATAGTCGGGGAAGGAACAGAATGTGAGCACCTTGGAAGGCCTTGGGATCTTCGGGTTTGCTGTAGAAATTTTCAGAAAATCACAGACTCTTACTGCTCCTGTCCGCAGGCCCAGGGGAATAACAGTGGAATTCACACACGCACTCACGGACACACCTCCCCACTGCCTAACCAGAGTTCCATAAACCCTTCCCAAATCAGTCATTTCATTTGTTTGTTTTCTGCACTTCGACTACCTTCTGTGGCTTGTGCCTGTGACATTAATTATGCAAGACTCGGACAACTAAGCAGGTGCATTTTGGGGGTGAGTTTTAAGAAATCTGTTGGTGACCTCAAAGAAATTCTGTGGGGACTGCCTGGGCTATTCAATTTATTCTCTGATTATATTCTGCTTCTAGGCCTTGACCTATTTTTAAGCTATTTCCTCCTTGTATGCTTTTCAGAAGGAGAATCCCCTATTCTGAAATATTATTTTGAAAAACTGAAGTAAAAGCAGGAGTAATATGAGGGAAGTGGGACCCCGTGTGAGCTCCTCTTCCGGTGGCCGGTATCTGTGTCACCTGGGGGACTAAGGTGTGTGTGAACTCTTCACCGCTGGGCCCCGGGGCGCCCACAACCCTGTCGTGCACACGTAGCTGCCCACTAACACTTTCTTGGGTGAGTTGGCTGAACACACTGTGTTTGCTGTTCTGCCTTGTGGTCCCAGCATTTTGTAACACGCTGTCTATTGGGTGGGTTTGCTGAACTGCAAAATGGGGCCAAATACAGAAGAATACTTAAATATTTCTATGCAGTTTTTTCCAGTGGACATCTCCATTTGCAGCTGATGGGTGGTCTTGGCTGGAAGGAGGGACGGGAAAGGACAAGCAGGCTCCCCCCGCTCTCTGACCCTGGGGGTCAGCGGCGGAATGGAGACACTCCAGCGTGATCTGCATGTCATCTTCCTTTCCATTTCTAAAGTTCCAATTGGTCAGAACTACATTAATTCGCGGAGAGGAAAAGAATGGCATGAAAGCAGATAAAAACATTCTCCTGAGTTTATATTATTTAGTTTTTTTTTCCTCCAAAAAGAAGTTTCTAGGAGCCTCACAGGGCTTGCCAAATGGAGACAGGCTTGGTCTCTAGGAATATGCTAAGAATTGTGTGTATTTCCCAGCACAAGCCCAGATCTTGTTTCTAAGAACAGGAGCAGCTGTCCCTCAGCGGTGACATTTACGGTTACCAAGTGACGATTCATGAGTCTTACCAAATTTATCAATATTTTTGTCTCTCGCCTCCCACCCCACCCCTCCATAGAAATTGCACTAACAAAACCGTATAGATTATATGTTGAAGCAGATGATTTATTTTCTTTTTCTTTCTTAGAAGGGAAACTATTTCCACGGAGTCGAGCCCTGTATTGTTCGCCGCCTCCACCCCCCACCCTGGGTTGGAACGAGAGCTTGCAATCTGCTTTTGGACTCTGCAGCAGAATCTGAATTCTGAAACTTTATCAAATACCCCTGGGTCGGAGCAGGCAGTCTGTAACAACAGCTTCAAGAACCCCAATGCTAATGCATCGATTTCCCTTTAATAGAATTTTGTCGTTGAAGGACAGGGCTCCGTCGAGTCCACCCTTCAATCTTAACCCATCCCAAGACTGTTCCTTTCCAGTTGAGCTCCATTCATTTCTGGTTGAATAGGTTAAGCAAAGACAGACCTCGCTGTTCTCAATTCACTTTATGATCCTCCCATCATAAAAAATAATATCAGCACCTTGCTTTTCATGTCAGAACTACATTTGAGCCGCGATTCCCTATGCCCATGAGTAAATCCCATAAAAGCCGCCCCGTTGTACTGTGGCGATTTTTCCTCGTGGGTGATTGATTGATGGATGAGTGCGGACACCTCGATGAAGCTATTTCGACTGCCATCTCAATCCGATGATGTGAGGGGTGTATTTTCTGTCCATGCCTCATTACTTCAGAATGACATTCCTGGAACTTCATTTACTTTTTCCCTCCTTCCCCGAAGCGCCATATTTTTTCCCATCTAGGTTATGCACGCCATAAAAAAAGCAATTTGCTATTATATGTGGCATAAGGGCAATACTTTCCCTAGGAGGTAAATAAGAAGTTTTTTTTTTAATCCCAATGTTGAATTTAGGGATCATGTCAAAATTTTGAAAACAATTCCAACAGGCAGCTTCCATGAGAAATGGTGGTCAGGGTATATTTGGCTTCATTTCCTTGGTGTTGAGATTTTTTTTTTTTTTGGTGTGTGATAACCTTGGTCATTAAAGCAACAACAACAAAAATATTTCTTTTGTTTCAAAAATCATCTAGTTCTTAGTGTCATGCCTAGAACAGTTTAAACATTTCACCCATCGCTGCCGAGTAGCAGGTTGCAACACAATCCAGACTTATTTGTCCTTTGAGAATAAAGAAATTCATTGTTTAAACGCAGTGATGGATTTATCTATTATAGGTTGCTTTCAGTCATAGAGAAAACGCTCAACCAGAGTAAACAGACGAACCCCTTGCATTTACCGAGTGCATACTCTAGGTATGCAAGAGTTTTAGTGTTAAAACATGCTCTTAGCTTTTCCACGTTGACTCAGGACCTGATCTTAATCTGTGTAATACAGTATTCCTGTTAATAATAACGTATAATTAAGACATCCGTTAAAAATCCATAACGTTAATTTAATGGAGAAAATCTAATACAGTTCTATTGGAATTTTTACGTTAAATTAACTTTAACGGGCTTTTAATGGATGTCTTAATTAGATCTCATTATTAACGGGAATATTCCACAAATTAAAATTGGGCCCTCAAAGTTTTAATGAAAAAAGTTGCAGGAACACATTTAAAATGGACACCCTATTTCATGCTTTCTGTTGCTGAGCCACGTCTCAGAGCCCATAAACAACAGGTCGTGCAGAAGATTACCAGAAAAGGCTGCTGCTGAACTTTCCACCCTGGGATGATTTCATCTTCTTGCTTCCTCTCCCATTCGGCATCTCACCCAGTCCCCCCGCCCCCACCCTGTCCTTTCAATTTGCAGGTCTCATATGACAGTGGTGCGGGCTTGAAACTATTATTTAAACGAAACAAAACAAAACAATGAGGAGATCGTGATGATAATAAAGGTGCCTGCCACTGCACGGGGGGAAAAAAAGTCTTTGGCAGCAACATGGTTAAGCCTGACTATTTGAACAACTTTCACAGAAGATGAACATCGTTCAGAGGTTTTCTTGGCTCAAAGTCTGGTTTAACTTAATAATTCTTCCACTTTGCGGTGATGAATGGCTCCCTAGTGCAGGGGCAGGACTGGGCAATCCAGGTGCAACCGTAATTGTTGCACTGAACAGAAACATTTCCTTCAGACAAACGTTCCCAGAGGGGTTATAAATAGGAAGTGGACATTACCATGAAAAGTAAGCTTCCAGGCGCCTCCATCTAGTGCAGCCCACTTGGACATTAAACTACGGAGACTGATACTCCCCCCCCCACCCTTTCCTGTCGAATGTTACAAACTGACAAAATAAGGACATCAATGTTCTCAGGCATATTTTTCTTCAGTGGCACTTTGTTTTCTCGTGACTGTAAAAAGAGGGCCATGGAGACGAGACAGCCCTATTGCAGTTTATCAATGAAAATCTAATATCGTCCATAAGCAGAGAAGTGGAAATCAATACTTCATTACCAAATTGTTAGTGAGGATGAAGAGAAATGGCTGGGGTGGTTTTCTTTTTGTTGTTGTTGGTTTTTTTGGCCGTCTTTTCAGAGCAGGGCGTCAGGAGTTCAATGTCAGAAGCGGGGCGGTGCAACGAAGGACTCAGTGCGAGGGGGATCCAGGCTGGAAAGTTGAAACTAAGGCATTTGTCCTGTAATGGGAATCAGAACAACAACAAAAAGAGATGGGTTATTTTCAGAGGAATGGCTCCGGGCATTATTTCCCCCAGGTAGTCAAATTGCCCACCTGGAGGATTTCGTTGGTATTCACGTTCTGCACAGAGTCACAGTCCAGTCTAGTGTATGACAGAACTTGATGACGGGACACAGAAAGGAAGAGCCAATTCAGGGGGAAAAAGCCCCAAAAACAAACTTTAAAAGATAATGTAGGGAAGATACATTTGTACACCGTGTTCATAGCAGTATTATTCACAACAGCCAAAAGGTGGAAGCAATCCAAATGTTCATCAGTGGATGACCAGATAAACAAAATGTGGTCTGTCCCCACAGTGGAATACTGCTCCGTCTCAAAAAGGAAAGGGAGGGGACTTCCGCCAAGACAGAGGCATAGGTGGAGACGCTGTACCTTCTCTCACAACCACGTTTAGAGACAACTAAATATTAGCAACAGAAAACATAGCCAGAACACAGAAAATTGAACTTTTCGGAAAGTCTGATAACAACAAATTCTTCAGCCTGACCAGTAAGAGGGGTGAAACCAGCAGCTGTCAGAGCGGGGTTGCACAGGAAAACTCGGTCAGACGGACTCGGGCGCGCGGAACCCAGGCACAGGGTTGGACCTAGTAAGCGACTCAGCGAGTGACCACGGGGAAACAGCAAGGGAGCAGGGCAGCGGGTTGACTGTGGTCTCACCTTCCTGTGCAGATAGACAAGCGAGGGAGTGGGCGGTGAGACTACGGGACTGAGCAGGCCCCACGGCGGGCGGCAGCACAGGGCGCCGCCATTTCCCCCGCTCTGACCCCGCCTCCACGTACAGCGTCATGGCCCGGCCCTGGTGAACCACCTAAGGTTCTGCTCCTCACCCAGCAGCGAGAAACAGCAGAGGGGGCCGCCATTTCCCTGCTCTGACCACGCCCCCACATATAGTGTCACAACCCAGCAACCTGAGAGTCCAAGGCTCCGCTCCTCATATTTAACGGGCGAGAACAGACCAAAAATGGCTCAAGAAGATCTCAAAGCCCCAGAGCCTATAAATCTAAGCGATGAAGAAATAGCAAAACTCTCAGACGCACAGTTTAAAACACTGGTGATTAGGATCCTCACGGAACTGGTTGATTATAGCCACGAATTAGACAAACATATGAAGGCGAAACTAATTGAAATGAATGGAATTGCACAGGAAACCAATAGTGATGGAAAGGAAACTGAGACTCAAATCAATGGAGTGGACCAGAAAAAAGCAAATAATGGCCAAACAGAAAAGAGTGAAGAAGCAAGAATTCAAAAAAAAAATGAGGAGAGTCTGAGGAACCTCCAGGACATCTTTAAACGCTCCAACATCCGAATTATAGGGGTACCAGAAGGGGGAAAGGAACAGCTACCAGTGGAAAACTTATTTGAACAAATAGTAAAAGAGAATTTCCCCAATCTGGCAAAGGAAATAGACTTCCAGGAAATCCAGGAAGCTCAGAGAGTCCCAAAGAATTTAGACCCAAGAAGAAACACACCAAGGCACATCATCATTACATTAGCCAAGATTAAAATGAAGGAGAGAATCCTAGAAGCAGCAAGAGATAAGGGGACAGTCACCTACAAAGGAGTTCCTATCAGACTGTCAGCAGATTTCTCAAAAGAGACCTTACAGGCAAGAAGGGGCTGGAAAGAGGTATTCCAAGTCATGAAATCCAAAGACCTACAACCAAGATTGCTCTATCCAGCAAAACTTTCATTTAGAATGGAAGGACAGATAAAGTGTTTCTCAGATAAGATCAAATTCAAGGAGTTCATCATCACCAAGTCCTTATTATATGAAATGTTAAAGGGACTTATCTAAGAAAAAGAAGTTAGAAAAACATGAACAGTGAAAGGACAGCAAACTCACAGTTATTAAGAACCACACCTAAAACAAAAGCAAACTAAAAGGACAGCTAGATCAGGAGTGGAAACATAGAAATGAAGATCTCAAGGAGGATTAGCAACAGGGGAGTGGGAGGAGGAGAAGGAGAGAGAAGGTACAGAAAAGTAGCATAGACAGTAGATAGAAAATTGATGGGGGGGGCAAGAATAGTATGGGGAATATAGAATCTAAAGAACTTGAGACGCATGGTCATAAACTAAAGGGGGGGTAATGGTGGGGACGGGGGGGTAGGGTGGAGGGGAATGAAGGGGGAAATAGAACAACTGTAATGGCATAATCATTAAAAAAATAAATTAAAAAAAGAAATTAAAAAAAAAGGAAAGGGAATTCTGACACACTCTACAACACGAACGAACCTTGAGGGCATGATGCTAAGTGAAAATAAAGCAGTCACAAAAGGACAAATACAGTATCCTTGTAAGGATATGAGGTATCCAGCATGAACTTGAAGCAGAATGGTAGCTGCCCAGTGCTCTGGGGAACAGGGCAGTGGAGAACCCCCTCTTCACGGGGTCCAGAGTTTCAGCTTTCCAAGACGGCAGAGTTCTGGCAATGGGGGCTGATGATGGTTGCACAACAATATACTTGAAGATGATTCAGGTGCTAAAGGTTATGTTATGTGCATTGGACTGCCATTTAAAATAAAAATGCAATGCATAATTTTTAAAAGAATTATAAAGCATTTTGAAACACACAGCATTTTATCCCTGGCCCTACCACCCAGGGAGAGCTCCCCTTCACATTCTGCTGAATTTTCTTCTAGTGTTTTCTGTGTGCATTTCTGCTAGGCTTGCATAGTTGTAATTGCCCACTGTGTAATATTTCTCTCCCTGTGTCTTCACTTGCAAGACTCATTGTAAAGAGCTGCATGAGTTCAA